AACCGCTGTCCCCTGCCTGCACCCGCGGCCCCCTCCTTTGCAGATGCTCTGGACAGCAGGAGCCTGCTGTGAGCAAGGAGCTCCTTGGAGAGGAAGGGGCTGGGATGCAGAAGCTCACAGACTGGGCACACGTGGCATCTGGAAAGGAACGTGTGCTCGGGGAAGTAAAGTGTCCCTCGGAACAGTCACGCCGCCACCACAAATGACAGAGGGGACGGGGGAGGCTCAGGGCTCGGCGGAGGGGGGGGGGAGAAACTGCACATCAGTGCCTGGGACTGAAAGAAAGGAAACAAGCTGCCGGACTGGCACACAAGTGCGATCCCTGGAAAGCAGAGAAACACCGCAGAGAAGAGCGAGACTCTCGGAACAAATGATGACGGGAATTTGGGGCAGGATTTCAAGGCTTTACTGAGAGCCCAACAGGTGAGGGGAAAGACACAACGATTTTATTGGCGGGACAGAAACACTTTTTAGGGTGACGTCTCATTTCAAAACTGGTTTCATAAGGGTCAGAAATACATGAAGTTATTTCACTTCACCGTAAAAGTACACAGTAAATTGTGTACCTTGTACGCAAGGCGCATAGATTGTTGGACGAATTCTTTCCCAGGTTATTTCTGAGTAATAAAGTATGCCCCCCCCAGGTTGTCTGAATGAAAGCCTCAGATTTTGGTGGGTACAAGTGTTCATCTGAAATACGGAGTTAAGGTGAATTTAAGTCATTTGAAAGTATAACACTTTATAGTAGTTTTTGAATGAGTAACAGAAAATGCTGCCCCAAAGGCAACACCTCCACAAACTAGAAATTTGCTTGACTTATGAGATGCAGGGACAGAGGGAATAAAGCTTACAGAGACAGACGGCACCTTTTAAAGCACGCATTTATGTATTTCTGCATTATGGGAAAACAGTCCCCTATTTTTCGTGTACTTTGTGGTGTCTTCCCGGGCAACGAACTGTGCCGTGTTTCTGATTCATACGATCCTAGTAGGTTTTTGTCTTATTTAGTACATTTTCTCTCCTAATGCGCTCCTAAGAGCCCCAGAAGCGGAATCAGACAGGGTGGCTCCCGTGTGTAAATTACGGTGACTCAGGGCCACAGTCACGGAACGGGGCTCGTCGTCCTGCGGGTATCGGAACCCAGTCAGCGGGTCAGGAGGGGGTCAGGCCGGGAGAACTCGGCCGCCCTCTGGCTCAGGAAGCATCCAAAGTGAGTGGGCAGATGCTCCAGGTGCTTCACAGCTAGCAGGTCGTGACGTGAACCTCTGATGAGAATGCCAAACACGAAACGAGGGCGGAGGGCTGGCCCTGAACGAGGAACGAGAAGGAGCGGCGCCAGGGCGGCGGTGACCCACAGCCCCGTCGGGGACAGTGCTGGAGACACGGACGGAAAGCGGGTCATAGCCCCGCGGGGCGAGAACACAGAGCGAACGGCAGAGGGGGAGCCCGTCACCCCAGGGGGGCCCGGCGCCAGGCTGGCCGTCACCACGGACCCAGTGAAGGAGACGTGAGGCCCCTCGGACGCCGCAGACCTGCCGGCTCCCCAGCGGCCGTGACTGTGGACTACTCACCTTTCACAGACCGCAGGCCTCGCGTCACCGGCTGCTGGGCCCAGGGACGAGCAGGGCTGCCGTGGCGGTGGGGCCACCGGGGCCGAGTCCAGGGAGCAGGTCCGGCGCTGCGGGCCGGGGGCAGGGGCAGGGGCCGGGGCCGGGGTGTCGGCATCACAGGGCCCGGGGCAGGCGCAGGGGGCGCCAGGGGCCCCGGGCAGATCAGCCCCCGGCTCGACGTCCAGGGTGGGCGAGGCCGGCGGCGACCCCCGCGGCTTGCGCTTGGTGGAGGCCCCGGAGAGCAGCTTCAACAGCCCCTTTCTCTCTTTCTAGAAAAAAGAAAAAAGCACGAGAGTCGAAGACATGGTTCTGTTGCTGCAGTTTCAAGTTCTGATGTGAGCTTTCGAGGGGCGCCTGTGGGGACTCTCGGTCCGGATCCCGGGGGCCGTGTGTTCACCTGCCCTTGGCCTCCCCCGCACCTGCCTGGGCATGTTCCCTAGTTCTGGACATTCCACTGCTCATCGGCATCCTCCACGGAGGAGGTAAGACAAGCAGAGAAGAATGATGTGAAACCCAAATCCCACCTATGTTAAGGTGAATTTAAGTCATTTGAAAGTATAACACTTTATAGTAGTTTTTGAATGAGTAACAGAAAATGCTGCCCCAAAGGCAACACCTCCACAAACTAGAAATTTGCTTGACTTATGAGATGCAGGGACAGAGGGAATAAAGCTTACAGAGACAGACGGCACCTTTTAAAGCACGCATTTATGTATTTCTGCATTATGGGAAAACAGTCCCCTATTTTTCGTGTACTTTGTGGTGTCTTCCCGGGCAACGAACTGTGCCGTGTTTCTGATTCATACGATCCTAGTAGGTTTTTGTCTTATTTAGTACATTTTCTCTCCTAATGCGCTCCTAAGAGCCCCAGAAGCGGAATCAGACAGGGTGGCTCCCGTGTGTAAATTACGGTGACTCAGGGCCACAGTCACGGAACGGGGCTCGTCGTCCTGCGGGTATCGGAACCCAGTCAGCGGGTCAGGAGGGGGTCAGGCCGGGAGAACTCGGCCGCCCTCTGGCTCAGGAAGCATCCAAAGTGAGTGGGCAGATGCTCCAGGTGCTTCACAGCTAGCAGGTCGTGACGTGAACCTCTGATGAGAATGCCAAACACGAAACGAGGGCGGAGGGCTGGCCCTGAACGAGGAACGAGAAGGAGCGGCGCCAGGGCGGCGGTGACCCACAGCCCCGTCGGGGACAGTGCTGGAGACACGGACGGAAAGCGGGTCATAGCCCCGCGGGGCGAGAACACAGAGCGAACGGCAGAGGGGGAGCCCGTCACCCCAGGGGGGCCCGGCGCCAGGCTGGCCGTCACCACGGACCCAGTGAAGGAGACGTGAGGCCCCTCGGACGCCGCAGACCTGCCGGCTCCCCAGCGGCCGTGACTGTGGACTACTCACCTTTCACAGACCGCAGGCCTCGCGTCACCGGCTGCTGGGCCCAGGGACGAGCAGGGCTGCCGTGGCGGTGGGGCCACCGGGGCCGAGTCCAGGGAGCAGGTCCGGCGCTGCGGGCCGGGGGCAGGGGCAGGGGCCGGGGCCGGGGTGTCGGCATCACAGGGCCCGGGGCAGGCGCAGGGGGCGCCAGGGGCCCCGGGCAGATCAGCCCCCGGCTCGACGTCCAGGGTGGGCGAGGCCGGCGGCGACCCCCGCGGCTTGCGCTTGGTGGAGGCCCCGGAGAGCAGCTTCAACAGCCCCTTTCTCTCTTTCTAGAAAAAAGAAAAAAGCACGAGAGTCGAAGACATGGTTCTGTTGCTGCAGTTTCAAGTTCTGATGTGAGCTTTCGAGGGGCGCCTGTGGGGACTCTCGGTCCGGATCCCGGGGGCCGTGTGTTCACCTGCCCTTGGCCTCCCCCGCACCTGCCTGGGCATGTTCCCTAGTTCTGGACATTCCACTGCTCATCGGCATCCTCCACGGAGGAGGTAAGACAAGCAGAGAAGAATGATGTGAAACCCAAATCCCACCTATTCACCTCTCAGGCTTGGTGAAGGCAAAGCAGCACTTTAGGACAAAATGGAAATTTCAGATTATGGCTTTAATTTCCTGAAATTCTGCCTACCCTAGCTCTAATTCTTGTGTGCTGAATTAGCATAAACCTGTTCCCATTTCTACAGCCACAGACCTGACGCTTATCATTTATAGGGGTGATTTTATTTATTTATTTTTTGTCCGTGCTGCGCGGCATGCGGGATCTTAGTTCCCCAACTAGGGATCGAACTCGCGCCCCCTGCAGTGGAAGCACAGAGTCTTAACCACTGGGCCACCAGGGAAGTCCATGGAGGGGATGGGTGACGTTTTGATCCAAGTGTTCACTTGTCACCACCTTGATGAAATTAAACAAAGCAATAAAAACAGAAGTCAAACCATTTCTATTGTGCAAGCACTTCCTTGATTAAAAAGCCAAAAACAACTCCATAAAACTAGAAAAAATCTTCAGTATAATAAAAACCATTTTTATGTCTCTTTTTTGCAGGAAAGCATACAAGTAAGAATTTTTCCCAGCCACCTCACAGAAGCCATCTCGTGGCTCTACATCTATGCTCTGCTAGGAAACCGTAGGGGGCTGGCTGTCTGCCGTGCCCAGACCCCAAGTGTCAGTGTTCTTCTGATGCCCAAGCACAGGTTAACAATCATCACTTTAAATTGTCTAAGATGTCAACTGCATCATCAGGTCCTCTGACTCAAAACATGGCCTGAGAATAAAACACTTCAGAGAAACAATTCTTTAGAACACTCTCCAGGCAAACTGGGATTATTAAGGTCCACTAACAGGGAAGCAGAATTATGAGGGGCCCTTAGGGAGACAGAACACTGAGGAATTTTTCCTGAATATTGAGTTAGTTCAGACTCGGTAAAAGTCCCTTGGGGGAGGCATAATAATAATAACACAGTTTCATGAGAGGCAGGCTGGCAGAAAGAGGAAGAAACAAAAGTAATCATGTATCAGATGAACAAGTGTCCCAGGGGGTCTGCACCCCCAGGCCCCATTTAGCTATGGCTGCCCACAGCACCTGTAACCCCCGGGTCAGGAATGAAGGGGGGAGGGGCGGGCTGTGCTGGACCATTTCCGTTTGTCGGGGGCTCAGGCTGCAGAGCTGGCGCATCAGCCCCCCAACCCTTCCCCTCCCTCCTGAGGAAGGTTCTCTTGCATCTTTAGTCGGGCCAGGCCTCAGCCACACCTCTCTGGCTTCTGCTTCACCCCTTCACCTTCCGTAGGGCCACGTGTGCACCGCAGTGAACGGTCCCACATCCTTGGCCAGGTACCCAAGCCTGCATGTCCTACGGCGCCAGTGCCGAGAGCAGGACGCAGATGAGCTGGCAGAGGACGGGGGATGGGAAACAAGCTGGCCGGACCCAGGGCTGAGGAAAGAGGAGAGGACAGTCTGCACTCCACAGGGCAATGGTGATTCCATCTACACGGCAGCCTATGAGGGGGAAGGACACACCTGCTGGCACATCTGCCCCTCCTCTGAGGGAGCCTGGGGTCTCGGGGCTGATACGTGAGCTGGGAAGAACGTCCAGCCTTGCAGGTCCTCAGCGGTTCCCGCTGGGACATCAGGAGGCACATGAGAGCCCCGGGACCCCACAGGTCTACCGAGAACACAGCCCGGTGATAAAGTCAGTCTCAGGAAACCACGGCTAAAGACTCTTCCTAAAAGCTCAGCCCTCATGGCAGGAAAACAGTTAACTGGATGCCTTTCGGGGAACAGCCTAGAAAGTGATTAAGAAGAAAGATGACTTTGTTCCTCTAAAGGGTCACACACATGAAGGGCAGCTCCAGTGACTTCCAGGGGATATGTGGGGAGGGGGTGGGGGTGCGGATGGGGATGGGGGTGGGGGGGGGGCTGGGGGGGTTGGGAGGGGGGGGTGCGGGCGGGGATGGGGCACTGGCATGGAGGGGCCC